AGAGAGAGAGAGAGAGAGAGAGAGAGAGAGAGAGAGAGAGAGAGAGAGAGAGAAACTATGCTCACAGAGGCTAGAAGAGAATGTTGGATCCCATGCAGCTGGAGTTGCAGGTGGTTGTGGGCTGCCGGACCTGGGTGCTGGGAACTGAACCTGTCTCTTCTACAAGAGGTACTCTTGACTGCTGTGCCACATTTCTAGCACACCACTCCTGTGCTAATTTAATGCAGAGGGTGTGAGCCCCCAAAATGGGAAGGACTTCTGGGTGTAGCTCAAATCTTAAAGAGTCTTATTAATAAAATCAAACCTGAAGCCAGGTATTGGGGGTGAATACTGGAAGATCAGAGAGACAGAATAAGCCACAGCTAACCTCACCTGGCCAACTTCTCAGCTGATCTTGTTTCCTCAGACTGGAAGCTTCTATGTCCTCATCCCAATGGCTCTCAGCTGAACTGTGCTCGAAAGCCTGAAAGCTTAACCAGCCAAATGTTAAACCAGCCAAATGCTTCTAGTTTCTGGTCCTCATGCCTTATATAACTTTCTGCTTTCTACCACCCCTCCCTGGGATTAAAGGCTCACTTTCTGGGATTAAAGGCATGTGTCACCATGCTTGGCTGTATCCTTGAACACATGGATTTCTGCCTCTGGAATGCTAGGATTAAAGGTGTGTGCGACCACTGCCTATCCTAAGTATCTAGTGGCTTTTCTGTTCTCTGACCCCAGATAAGTTTATTAGGGTACACAATATTTTGGAGAACACAATACCACCACATCTGGGTACAGTCATAAAGAGAAAGTGAAAACCATTTTGGGTGGAGAGAATGTGACTCAGTTGACAGAGTGCTTTGCTAGTATGCACAAAGCTGTAGGTTCTATGCCCAGCAACCCTTAAACCAGATGTGATGGGGCATGCCTGTCCTCCCAGCACTTCAGAGGGAAAGGCAGGAGGATCAGGAGTTCAAGGTTGTCCTCAGCTGCATAGCAAGAGTGAAACTATCCGGGAGGATCCATAGGAAATCAGGGTCTTGGGAGATGCCAGGAGCCAACACCCTTCCCTTCTGTCCAGCTTTTCCTCCTGGAAGAGATGCGAGAGAGAAAGTTTGACGGCTTTGCCCGCACCATCCAGAAAGCCTGGCGGCGCCACATAGCAGTCCGAAAGTATGAGGAGATGCGGGAAGAAGGTGAGGAGTCTCTATTAGGAGGCTCAGTCTGGGGGCAGGAGGATTAAGGAGAGGCCACGACTTTCAACCACACATGTGTCCTCACAGCTTCCAACATCCTACTGAACAAGAAGGAACGCAGGCGAAACAGTATCAACCGGAACTTCGTAGGGGACTATCTGGGGCTGGAGGAGCGGCCTGAGTTACGCCAGTTCCTGGCCAAAAGGGAACGAGTGGACTTTGCCGACTCAGTCACCAAGTATGACCGCCGTTTCAAGGTAAGACCTGAGTGGGTGTTCCCATTTGAGACTGTGCCTCTGCCTAGTACCCACACCAGAAGCATACCACACATGGGACCCAGATGTACCTATCCACAGGTGTATATTCACCTAGCCTCCAAACATCTCTCCTCAGAGGCACGCCCACCAGGCTCAGACACATCTATCCACAAGAAAATTCTCCACTGTGTTAGACACTGCTGTCCATCAAGCATTACCTCATGGGGCTGGCAGAGTATTTGCTTAGTACAAACTCTGGGTTCCATCCCCGGTATTACACAAACCAGGCATGGTAGCAAACGTTTACAATCCCAGCTCTTGAAATCCCAGGATTTCAAGGTCATCTTCTACTATATAGTGAGTTCCAGGGCAGCCTGAGCTATGTGAAACCCCAAGGGGGAGGAAAGACACTTCATGTAGCACTGTCACACCCATCCACACTCCCACAGCTGGTAATGGAGCTGTCTATCAAACCTGTCCTTGTGTAGCCCAGACACACCTATCCATAAGCTACACTCTTGTTTTGCCAGATACATCTGTCTACTGCAACACATCCACCTTGCCCAGAAGCCCATTCCACAGGACCACTTCCCTCACCTGGCTTAGATACACCTGTCCATTGGACACACTTTCACTTGATTCTGATAACCTTGTCCATATAAACACTCTCACCAGGCCAAGGGAGCCTTGTTCACAGGTGCATGCCTGACTGTCCCAGAAATCATGACCAGATTAATTATCATGACCAATTAATGTAATCTAGAAAATCCCTTATAGACATGCACAGCTGTATATGGCATGTAGCCCATACACCAGGGCCACTCCCTTTGGAGGTCATTTTCTTTCAAACCACCACATCTGCTGTCTTAGTTTTGTTACTCAATAAAATACTCTGATAAAAGCAACTTACAGAAGGAAGGATTTATTTGGCTCACAATTCCAGGCTACAGTCCATCAGCATGGGAGAGTCAAGGCAGGAACCTTAAGCAGCTAGTTACATCCACAGCAAGAGCAGAAATCAATGAATTGAAGCATGTATGCATGTATCTGGCTTACTCCTTTTTATTCAGCCTGAGGCACAGTTCATGAAATAATCTTCCCACCTCATTAATGTAATCAAGATAATTTCCCACAGACGTACCCACACACCAACCTAGTCTACAGAATCCCTTCCCAGGTGATTCTAAATTGTGCCAAATGGACAATTAAAACCAACTACCAGGGACCAGAGACAGCACAGCAGATAAAGGTACTTGCTGCCAATCCTGAGACCTGAATTCAATACCTAGAACCAAGTTGGTAGAGAGAGAGAACCAACTCCACAGGTGGTCATGCACATGTCCACACATACACAGACACACACAAAATAACTGTTAAAATATAACTAACCATCATTGTTGAATTTTGGGCCAACCTCTGCAGATCTTGTCTGCTGGACATGCACGTTGGGGAGGGGGTGTCTGAGGACCTGAAAGAATGGGGCAGACTACAGTCTAATGCTGTGGAAGGATTTCAGTGTGCTTTTATACAAGAATGTAACAAAGAAAATAATGATCAAGAAAGGCTATTTGAGTTCAGAAGAGCATGATCAGAAAAACATATAAATAAACATCAGTAAGTACATACTAAATATTAACAGAGCCCTTTCCCAGAACTTTCTTAGGACAGACCAATTTAACCACAATTGCTTGGCATATACAATAGATTATATCCGGGAAAGCATGAAAGCAAGGCAGGAAGCCAAATCCAGAGATTCAGGGTACACTGACCAGATTTAGTTCTAGAGTCATGTTCTAACATCTAACAAGAATAAACATGTCGGCCGGGCGGTGGTGGCGCACGCCTTTAATCCCAGCACTCGGGAGGCAGAGCCAGGCGGATCTCTGTGAGTTCGAGGCCAGCCTGGGCTACCAAGT